ACAGGAACTGGGGAGGAAACAGGAGCTCACCCTGTTTAACGCGAAGGCTGGACTCAAACCGTTGAAGCGTTGACCATTTATTCTGTATAATGAAACCTATCTAATATTGACTTGAAGAAATTTGAGAGCTGAGTTAAGAAAATTCTAGAAAGTGTTCTTGCCATAATGATTGTTGACGTCTATGGTGATTAAAAGCACATCAACCTTCCCACTTTTTTTCTCTCCGTATTCAGGATTTTACTAAATGCATTATAAAAAGGAATCATGATTCATGCAGATATATAATATTGTTGCTATTCTATTATAAATAAATGTTGTGCATTGTTGACTTGGCTATACCCTATGGTCTCCTATAGTCCTGCAGATACAAAACTCTGGAACCAAATATGTGAATGGTCTCTAAAGATAACCTGTATTTGTAAATACCAATTTATATTTGTTTGTTTTATTACATGTATTGATTGATTTTCAGACACTTCTGCTGAAGAAGTTATAAATCCCCCAAAGACATTTGATGAAGTCCAAAAAGAAGCACAGGAGGGACATGAACTGTATGTTTTGACACACAATGATTATTATGTTGGTGAGTAAAAAGGACAAGTGAATATAATGACAAAATTCTAGGTATAAAAAACAGTCATATTTTTGTTTTGCAAAGACATGCTTATTTTCCATTTATAATAAAGAATAAAACTGACACTTTTCTTACAAGCTCAATTTTGAATTGAAGATTTTGTTAAACTGATACTAATATATTTGATAAATGGTAAGGTAATGGAGTATGTCACAGGAATGCATAGTTCTGGTTCTTCTTTCATAGGAAGATCAATTAAAACTTTAGGAGAAAACTTGGTAGTATAAGTTTGTGAAGTTGGAATACAAAGCATGCTTATTTATTCCCTTGGATAGTAAGAATTTCCATACCTTTTTTGACTGTCAAAAATGTCAAGTTGTCTACCCTTGACATTACAAATATAATAGAAAACAATAAAAATGTTCTGCAAGCCATTGTAAATAGTTGAAAATTATCCTCAGCAGCATGTGAAATACACCCTTTCCTTGTTTAGTGACTGTATTCTGTTCCAATGACTTGGTCATTAAAGAAAATAGTCATTAAGTAAGCACATGACATGCTGTGAAGATCACTGGCACTGGTTCCTGCCATCTCATTGAGATAAAGTTCTCTCATACATGATCTTGTGCCTGACCCACTTTTTCCCCCTTTTCTTGCCCCCTCAAAGGGCAGAGAGATTGCTTAAATAAGCTATCTCTTCCTGAGCTGTTTTTCTCTGCAGCGGAACACTTCCCTAAAAAATGCTAACCACAAGTTAACAAGCTCAGCTCTGTGACCTTAATTAGTTGATTAGAACCCTCAGGCCAGCTGACTCTGGTGCCTGAAACTGACCAGATCTTAATCAGTTCTACACTGAAGGCTTTTGTTGTCAGGTGCATGAAATTTGGTCATAAATGCATGCATTGTTCGGAAAATAATTTTTTTATTATTTATTACCATTGTATTTGCAAATGGTTGCTAACCAAGGTAGTTGCTAAATGAGGAGTTGCTGTAGCAAATTATCGCTACTTGGTTCTGTTCACTTTCCCTCCATTAAGGTTAGGGCAGTGGTCTCAAGTATTTTGTATGAGACCCTTCAGGTCTGTGACATATTCTAAAGGAGAGCAGTGCTGGAAAAAAGGCACCAACTTGGTGATCTTGGCCAGGTAGTATGGATCTTCCAGTTAACAAGAAATCAGGACAGGCTAAGAGGCATCTGCACTTCTATCCCTGTACTAAGGCACCATCACAGCATGGGCTGAGGACTAACAGTTGCCATGAGTGCAACTGGCAGAAGCCTCATCCTTGTTTCTGCCACTGATGCAGGGATGGCAAGTGCCATCCCTGCTGAAGCAGCAGGAATGAGGATATACTCCTGATGGAGACTCCCCCCGTTGTACTGTGTTGCTTAAGGCTGAGTTGAAGAAACTGCTGTAATCTCCACAGACCTCTTCCTCTAGGACTCTTCCTAAGCTTTTGCCCAGAAGCTACTCTGGATAGGGGATGGGGACCCAGTGCCACCTGTCCCCTTCTTGGCACTAAAATAACCACCCCGCACATCCCCAAAAGTTGTTCCCAGTTTCTGCCCTTGGGTGTTGGCTCTCCACCCCTGACAGCCCTACAAGGGAAATAAAGCTTAAGCTCAAACCTTAAACTCCCATGCTTTCCATTAATTAAAACTGGAAAACATGTGGCAATTGCTTTTATTCTACATGGTAGAATGTGTTCATTTAAACCATTTTTAGACCTATTTTAGACCTCAAAATTGAGCAACGTTTGCAGGAATTTATAGTGTATTATGAGAGAGAGATACATGCCAAATTGAAGACAAAGCATGTTTTTTTTTTTCCTTTGAGAACTGCCAGTATCGTTTTTACTTTTTGGCAGTGCTGAAAAATAATTTTCAGTGGTCTCTTCTAAGGAAATAATCCCTGCCAAGTTTCAGATGTGTAGGTTCAAGGGTTTTATGTTGTTATTGAAGAACAACCAAACGAAAGATTTGTATTCCAGTTAATGAAAAATACTGCCAAGTAAGTGGTTCAAGTAAAATGGAGAAAAAGTAGCTGTGTTTTATTATACAGGGTTTTTTTTTTAATTAGGAAAGTAATGTTCCATAGCATACCTTGATCCTCTCAATTTTCTTTATTTTTTGTTTCGTCAGAGATTTTGTATTCAGTCTTGAAGCCTTTGTGACAATCTGAGTTTGAGGCTCCAGGCTTGGGTGATATACATGGCTGTAGTTTATCCTTATCACTTTATCTTAAAATAATTCTGTGAGCTAGTTTATGTTAGGGCAATAGTGATCTAATTGCACCAGGGATGCCATCCAGGTCTCCTTGGCAATATAATATACTGGCCACAACCATAGCTTTCTCCAACCCAGTACTATCTAGATTTGTTGGGCTGCAATAACAGAGAGGAGCTATCTTAACATATTTAGAGGAAGGCTGGATGAAGACATTTGCACTATATGAGACATTTGCACCCTGATGTCCTTCAGAGGTGATTAAAAATATTTCTAGGCTGATGATAGTGGGAATCTAAAACACCAAGGGATCCGTATAATGGATTGTAATGGGCACCTTTAGGGATCACCATTAGTTCAGCAATACATCCACAGTTAACTTCTATAAATCTAGGGACTAACTTCTCTTGAGGTTGAATAGTGAAAGAAAAGTTGAAAACTTTTACTGTTTTGAGTTTCTCTGGAGAGCAGCAGCTGGCTGTGGGGAAGGAAGGAAAAGAAAGAAGTCCCTCAAGTTGAGTTGTGAAATCTTCCATGATGCAGGAAGGAATCTAACCTGCCCAGACTTCTAGGTGCAGTGAATAACTAAATAAGAGTAGTGTTAGGATTTGATTTTATCTTGTATGTGCGCAAGGCAAACCTCACTTGACTTCTTTCAAAGTTAGCATTTTTCTGAGGTCAAATCACCATCTTAGATGGGCCTACCCATTTCTCCTTTGTTTAGTCTGCGTGTTTTAAAGACTAATTATTTTCTTTAAGCCTACAACCCATCTGTGGTTTTTTTTGCTGTTGTGTGTGATTAATACACTGTAAAAACTGTTTTCAACAGATATTTTTTATTCTAATTTATGTCTCATTGGGTGTAATCTGGTAATATGCCGCAGAAACCCTTGGCCTGTCTAGCTTGGCTACCAGACACTGTATTTAAAGTGTCCTGTGTTTTGCAAGCAGCAGAAAGAGGAAGGCATTTTTCTTTTTTTGTCCTTGCTCCTACAATCTTACTTGAGGGGGAGAAAAAGAATGCAGTGGCATCTTCCCATAGCATTTTGGGAAGATCCTAAAACATCCTTAGAATAGTTTGGAACTAGTCTTGGGCCAGAGTATTTATTTATTGTTTTAAATTTATAAACACCTTTGTGTGAAACAGTTGAAGCTGGTGAGGTTAGAATCTCATGCCAGGAAAAGCTGGTTTGTAAACAAGGGACAGATGGCAGAATCTTTCAAGGCTAGTGAATGAGTGGCTACATGACTTTTGACTTAACAAATTGGGAGGGGGAGGCCGCAGATTTAAATCTAAGGACTAATATATTTAAAGGGCAGGATTTCAGAATGCAGTTAGGTGGAGAGGTCCCTCATATGTACTGTATAGCTTCCTAATTTTCTGGAATAAATCTGTTTATCTAACCTTATATTTGTTTGGGAATGCTGAATAGGGAGAGAGTATATTTACTGTACCAGATAGAAAGCCTTGACAATAAATGATCATGTCCCATTTTCTCCAGGAGAGACAGTGAATAGAAAATATAACCCATCTACATTCAACAGATTTAATCTTTATGGTAAAGAAACACCACATTTTAATGATGGTCGGAATATTGGCAGAACCTTACGCTGGCTCCATGACCTCCAAATGTGAGTTATGCTTTGAATCCATAACTTTTCTGTTATTAGTTAAGCAATAGTGCCCCTTAAGACTTATAAATCATGATATTAAATGTAGCCAGGGTCCAAACATTTTTTTCCTGAAGCATAACAACATATACTCTCAAAGTGCTTGCAATCCAAGGTTGACCAGGTTATTTTAGCAAGTGAGGCAGAAAATCCCCAAGGTATCTTGTTCTCTCTCCTTTTTTTTCTGCCATTTAACTTAGAGATAAATTAAATAACTGAAAATGTGCTGATTTCATCTAACAAAGGTGATTACTGTACCTGAGCAGCAAATGTACACAACTTGCAACTCCTGGGTTTTCTGTGGTTTCAAATCCTCGATGCAGCTCCAGAGCTCTTCTAAAAATTGTGATCAAATTTTAGTTTTTTTTCTGCTGGGAAAAATTAATATAGTAAATGTAATTATACTGATTTTAATTTTGTCCTTGTTTTTTGGAGTGCAACCCCTGGCATGCCAGTCAATGGCCAGGTGTGCCCTCAACCCCCCCCCCAAAAAAGTTTGCATGCCTTCAGCCTAATTTACAGCATGCTAAAATGTTGTCAGATAACAGATTTATGTATCAATTTTTTTTTTGATACTGTACACACTAAGACAGAACTGCACAACTTTTGGGAGGCCGAGGGCCACGCCTAGGATTTATGTGTTTGCTGGAAGGCATTCAAATGTATAGATGGGGAGAGAACAAATAAATGAAAAAGGCCAAGACAAAAACAGGTGTGATTTAATACTTGACATTAATGATACCTTAAATAATTTAAATAAATGTAGCATGATTAATCCCCATGAAGTTAATTTTTTTTTCTTTCTGTCATATTAAAAATATAATTTGAAGGAGCTTGAGGGTCATATCAAAGATGTTTTAGGATTGTGTGCTGTTCTGGGGTCTTAAGTTGTGCATTTCTGCTCTAGAGAAATAGTTGAGTGTTTTCTCTTGCTCTTTCTAATTTTCAGCCCTTTTATGTGTTGTTTACGAGCTGAAAATGTTGGATGCATTGAGAAATAGTATGATTTATATATGATGACTGATACCTCTCAGTCACTTGAGTCCTGGCTTGAAGTCTTCTGTTCAGGAGATTCTGATTACCTGTATTGGAGGCCCAGTGATTTAAGAAGCTTTGATTTTCAAGATTCCCATTTTAACCCTGTAATCTTTTTATTAAACAGATTATTCATCTGCATGTTCTGTGCTTGTATGTTCTGATGATTGGATTTTGGTAATATTTGGGTTGGCAAAAGGAGTTTAACAAAACCAAATGAAACACATACGTCATAGTAGAGCATTACAATTCAAACCCAAGTACTTTATTCTCTAGTTTACTTAATCCAGTTTGGTCTGCTGGCTTTCTGTAACACTATTCTCTAGATAGAATGTTATCAAAATTGCTTTAAATCAATTATATTTAACTTTGTTTGGTATAGCATTTTGATACTGCAAGATATTGAAAATTAACTCAAACTTTGAATAATATCTCTCATCTGGTGGTGAGCATTACAAAGCATGTTAATAACATGGTTTGGCTTTGTTTCTTAGTTGAGAGATGCCAAAATTTATTATTATTTTTTCCATAGGACTCTTATCAAAAAATCTTTGCTCTTTTGTGCTATTGTGATTTTGGCTTTTTTTTTCCAATTGTCTTTTTTACTTCTTCAGGAAGAAATCAGCACAAATTGTGTCAAAAATAAGTGATGATTTCAAGGAAAAGTTTCAGCCTCAGGTTGGAAAAGTTCATGATCCGTAAGTGAACAAGATAATGCCTTTACTATAAAATCTTCCTTAGAATTCTACATTAAGATTTTCTCAAAATAAACTGGTTGTTTATGAGAGCTTACTCCCATATCAGTTCAATAACTGTTTTGGGCTGGATATGTCTTGGCGAATTCAGATTGCTAGCATTCATAATCATGTAGCATACCACACAGGCTTATCTCAGCTTGGTTCTCATTTTGAGATTTTTTTTCAGACAAGGACCTTACTTTTTACTGTTTCTCTGCTGGTTGCATGATGTCAATAGCAGTAACATGCTGCAACGTATTAACAATTAGGGGTTTTCACTGCCTGGAGCAGCCAGGGAATAACAACAACCTATATCTCATCTACAGAGGACACCCACATTCTTTTGTGGACATTTCTTTTCTCTTGTACAGATTATCTGCCATGTTACCATCTTCAGATTTATTTCACTTAACCTAGTTCAGGGAGAAGTCTCAAAATGTGGTACGTTATACTTGATTACACACTTCATAGGCTTGCAAAAAAATACCCTAGTGAACTGAACACTTTTTTGCTTCATTAACACTAGAAGTCTGTGTGTTTGTGTGGGGAGGGTTAGTAAAGACAGCTTGCTACATTTCTAGCACCCCAGCTGCATTTTACTTAACCTAATTCAAGGGAAAACGAATAGCAGCATTGGTACCTTGCTGCAAAATCAGAATTTTCCAGGATATGCACTACACAGAACTTGCTAGAATAACACCATGCTTCACTTTTTGCTTCATGGTTCATTGGAACCTTTCAATGGGTGGCTTGGGGAATAAACAACTAGCAAGAATGAAGCAGAGAAAGTGAGCACGGACTGGTTGGTGTTCTCACAACTCAGTTATTAGCTAACTGTGGCTGAGTAGTGATTGACTGAACAAGCTCTCTGAAACCTCCAGAATCACATTAACTAATGTTTGGGATCTGCTTGTGAGGATGAAATGGGGATCCCAAGCTGAATTGAATGTGCACAGGGAATGATTTGCAAATGAAACAGACAGTGATATGGCCTGAGGTGATAGTAATTATCCAAACTCTTTGGATGTAATCCACATGATGAGAGACCCCACAGTCAGATGTCTGAGTATGAGCCTGTCTGGACACTAAGGTTGACAAGAGAGGCCCAATTAAAGATGTCTTAATTTTCACAGGTACATGGGAGAAAACCTTCTCCTGTCTTGCTCCCGCATTGTAGAATGCACTTTGCTGGGAACTGTATCATTCTCCTATTTTAAGAAAGGAGTCAAGATTTCAGTCAGCCTTTTGAGTTGGATTAATAGGAATTTTAATTATTTTAACATACATTCATACATTGATACTCAATGGGCTATTCCCTTTTAGAGTTAACAACTTTTTGAAAAATGCAGAAAGAATAAGTGGTAGTAAACAAAATAAAGGCAGGTAATAAGAGCAAAAGAAAGGAAATCAGACTAAAGTTGGATAGATTTATTTTTCTCATTGCTGCCCAGGGACTGCAATCTTAGACCAGTGGGCACATTTGAAAATTTGAGAGTACATTGTGGGAATGTTACAAAATTATCACCATGGGAGACCTTGGGTTTTTGTTTTGTTTTTTTCAGGATGGCTGCTCCAATGGGCATGTCCAGTCATAGGACACCATTTTGCTAAAAGGCAAAATGGTAAGACTACTTCATGACATCCTATCAGTCACCATCTCTCAGGAATATTTCTTGGAGGAAAACCAAGATATAAACAGAACAACAAATGGGCAGATTAACTGATAGTTTTCACTTGGTGAACGAAGGAGACCCATAATAGATATTACCTGTATTTTACTCTCTGTCTCAGTGATAGAAATACATTGTAGAACAAAATCCCACTCAACAATTCTGCTGTGTTTCATTGGTTTGTGGATGAGGAGCAGGGAGTAGGCAAGGAAAGCTAGGGCGTGATGGTTTCACCGTGACTTCTTTAGCTGTAGTTCATTAAAGTTTTTCTCTGACAGAGAAAATGAGCTTTTGTGTCTAAAACAAGATTACACTTCAGTGAAAACTAAAAGAGATTCTTTTCATTTTCAGCATAGCAGATACGCTTAATGTTCCTCCAGACCACACATTTGGAATACTCATTCATCCTGATGAATACGGCAAGCATAAAAATACCTTCTCCATATTTTATAACCTTGAAACATTTTGGTTTTTATTTTATTATCTGAAAGTTAGTGCCCTCTTCTCTGTGATGAGGTTGGTGCATCTATTCCAAAGTGGGCAACTTTGTGTCTTCCAGTACTTCATCTTAATAGTCTTTTGACATTGGCCATGCTAAGACAGGACTGATGGAAGGAGCTGAATCCACAATATAAGAGGGTGCCAGGTTGTTTATTACTAATGAACATAATTCAGATGTTAAAAGGAGATAATTCAGAGTCACTTTCATAAACTCAAAATCTTTTGTTTCAGTGCCTTATCTGCAAGTCTGCTTTGGAAGACTGTTCAGAAACTTGGAAGAGCAGGGAGAACATATTTTGCTGCTTAATTTATTGTTGATTCACTCCTGAGCAGAGTTCCAAGGATTGATGCTTGCCTGTAAAGCTCTGAATTATTTGTGACCTGGGTATCTGAAGATACATCTGCCTCCACATGGATCTGCTTGCATATTAAGATTATTCTCTGAGGCCCTTTTTAGTGTACATTTAGTATGTATTCCTTCTGAGATGAAATAGGAAGCAACCAGCAAAAAGATATTTTTGTGGTGATGCTCTTCTTATGGAGTTTCCTGTCTAAGGAGCTATGATGACCTTCTTATCTTCTGTATAAAATGACCTTATTTTCTCAACTTGTATTCACTAAGCATTTTAACTTTATTCTTTGAATCTAGGCCTGGATAGTATCTTATTTTTCTTTCTGATACACTTGCTTTTTTTTTTCATTCTGCTATTTCTTTTTTCTTTTTATTACATTTAACTGGTTTACTTTATTGTTATTAGTGGTCTCTTTTATATTCCTTGTACATTTATTGATGGAAGGATGTGATTTAAACTAGACAAACAGCATCATGGCTATTGCCTACCAGTGAAGCCAGTCTGCATATATTTGTGATATGGTGCAATTCACTTTGAGAACAGTATTGTGGAAGCATCACAGAGCAGTTAAAATATGGTCAAACAAAGTTTTGATGTAATATATCTCTTCTGTAGGTGTTGGGGACCTTCTTCATAACCGGCTTCCGAGTGAGTATCTTAAGGGTAAAGACAGAGAACGGGCTGTCTTTACTGCAATTCGACAAAATTTGAAAAAGGCAAATTACCACAACTTTGATACTTTATTGCACGCATTCCGCCATTATGATAAGGTAATTGGCTTTATGTTAAGATGACAACTTTTTATGTGAATGATGTATGAGGCTTTGTACTTCAGTATCTTAAATCCTGCAGCCTAAAACATGGTTTTATTTTTTTAATTTATTACTCAGTTTTACATCTTGACTTCCTTTTAGAAGCTTGAAGCAGCATAGATACTACAAAACACTCTTGCCTCTAAATGTTATCCCCATCACAGTCCTGAGGTTGGGCTGAGAGATATAAAGGCATCATGAATCTCAACTCAACTGGCTTGGATCTCCCTGATCATTATCTATGACTCTGACTACTACATCACACTAATTCTGTGTGTAGCACAGAACATGATGTTTGTTTCATGTCACCATTTAATAGATGGCAAGAGATATACAGAAGCAATTTCTACATAAAGATGCAAATCTTTTCCTCATAGGCCATGCCCCAGTGATGGAGTATGTAAAAATGAAAAATGCAGCTCAAAATAAAACACTTGTCTGGAGAGGACAAGGAAGGAACCTCACCCTGGAAAACATAGTTACATCATCGATATGCAATAGCACACAGAACAAAATAATAATAATGAGTGTCACATACACCCTAGCTTAGTAAAACAATTCTTTTTACACTTGAAGTGATAAAGTGCTAAAAAGACTGAAGAACTACAACAAACAAGTCAAACTAATTCAAATGTGGCGTTCAACAAAATACATCATGGACTGGATCAACTGCACAAGAAGTACAGCTAAACTGAGCAGGACAATTAGCACAGAATCTTTTGTATTTTTAAATGTACACTGAGACATCCTCAAACAAAAGAGCACAAGAAAATACAGAGAGTGAAGATAAATGAATAACCTCACAACAGTAAATCCAAACCAAAGCAAGCCATCAGCATAAAACTTGGGGGAAATTTATAGCTAAATCAGGTTGATTATAACTTGCTGAATTTAGTTGTACATGTGCATGTTCTTTTGTCCAGTAGATTGGGGAGCTTCCTGAGTCCATTTGAAGATAAGACACTCACTACACATATAAAGGCATCAGGAATCTCAATATCGGCAGAAGCTAATAGCATGCACAGAGTGAACAGAGAATGCACACACACCCTTAAGCAGACCAACTGAATGTTCAGCTGGACTGGTCCCATCCATGAGAAGTGGTTGGTAAATCATAGGACACATTACAGCTAAGCTAAAATTCACATTTTCTTACTTTGCTTGGAAAATCTGGTTGTGTGGCAGTGTGGAAGGAAAGCCCAGGGTGCAATTTACAGGAATGAGGATTTACATGAACAGGCAAAGTCAAGAGACTTGCCAAAATTGCACTCTGACTTTGCAAGCTTGTCCAGGCACAGAGGAAAATGAGTTTATATTTTAGTTCTAATGGTATGCTTTCATACTATGCTGACTTCAGGCCAGCAGTGAACTTGCTTTGGTGGTAAGGGGCAGTTTGCTGGCATGATGATCATCACTACCACCCTGTGGCATGAACTCAAATTCAAAAGAGGTAGCACAGCCTTCTCCTGAACTTTACCTTCGACTTCTGGGTTGCTAATGGAGAATAATGGGCTAATTGCATGAAGTATGAACACCACCACCTCCTCAGCTTGTGGTGATAGGGGAGAAAGTTCCTATCCCAACACTGGCTTCTCCTTCAGGCTCATCCACTACAATGCCACCCGATGACACCACTGTTGCCTAGGAGAAGTGGTCATGGTATACCTCCTTAGAGTAATTATCCTCCCCCTACCTTGACCAACAAAGCTTGGCACTGCCCTCCCATTGGCTAGCCCTCTAACCGGCCCAACTGTTCCAATCATGGCTTGTTCAGGGAGGGATTATAGTAGGGGGGATATACTGTAGTTAGGAGAATATGACCTGCTAGTCCTAAACTGGGGCTAGAGGTGGAGAGAAACCTTAAAGGCAAGCCTGGTTTTAAAACTAGAAAAAGGAAGGTCTCTATTAAAAGTGGTGGGTGTAGCTGTCTGTCTGTCTAGCAAGCAACAATGCTGTCAGTTTCAAACTCAAAAGGGGGCTGGGTTGAAACAAGGGAATTAAAAAGGGAATCTCTCTTTCTATCTCACTAAAACTACCATTCATCCCACTATGCTTATCAAAACTGGAAAAAAAAGACCTAGAAAGGCTTCCTCTGTACCATGTGTTCCTCAAATGCCCGCTGCTTTATTCCAAAACTCCACTCAGATCACCCCTAACCAAGCCTAAGTGAATAGCAATAGGGATGTGACTATTGCATTGGCCCAGAATTCAAAAAATCACTACAGTTTGCAAGAAACAAGATAACTCTCAATCATAGCATCTAAAACAGAATAGAACACTCAAAAATACTTCTACCTGGAACAACCATGTTTCAGTCCTTACCTGAAACAAAACAACCCCATTTTGATCTGTGTCCAGAATAAAACATTTGAAATACACACTTTAGTTTAAACAAGAACCACCCACAATCAGCATTCCATGCATGAACATCTTCCACTTTCCTATTCGTTGAATACCAATTGCTGGGAGCAGTAGCGAGGGCTTTTCCCTTCATATCCTGTTTGTGGGCTTCCTCAAGCTATTTCCCTGGAACAAAGACACTTTTTGCTGTTCAAACAAGCAAATCTTTGTTGAGCAAGCCACAATGGTTGGATCTGCACATGATTTTAATCCATAAATCATGTCTAAGAAAACACATTATGGGTAGGTGCAATGTAAGAAGCCAGCCTTCGGATTTTGGTTACTTCTGTGTATCTTGTCCAATCCCTTCCACTAAGATGCAGTTTACTGCATCTTCTGTTAATAGATAGCTAGGCAGAGGTTATCATTGCAGACTAATGAATTTTGATATCTTAGACATGATATCCGGGTGAAGAGGATGATTTCCTCCTGATTTATGAGGATTGCATGTTCAAAATGCCTATTGAGTATAATGTTCATCTTTCTGCCCCTCCCCCCCCGCCACCTGGGTGTTAGATCTCTTAATATGAATCATCAAATGAAATGTTTTTTTATTATAATGTTTGTTTTTAAAAAAACTTGTATAGCCCCCATCTTAAGAAACACAACTCTGGGCAGCTCACAACAGCGATAAAACCCAAAAAACAATTTAAATAAAAGCAAAAAAGCAAAAACGTAGCACCTCAACCATCCTTTTCCGATGCCTCCAATAAAACTATCCCTAGGTTCCAACTATCCCAGCACTTCGGGGAAGCAGTTCTTTAAAGAAGGCTAAAAGGGTGGGGGTCTGCTGAATCCCAGGGGGAAGAGTTTTCCACAGGGCAG